AAGCAGCCTCAGCCCTTGGTCTAATTGTTTGTGTCATTGCTTCTAATCCAGAATGTCTTGTCCTAGGTCCTGCACTGGCAAAAGCCTCCCCTGAGCCAGGCAGGGAGCTGCTTGGGGCTGGGAAGGGAGGAACCCAGCAGGGAGAAAATTTGGGAGGAGAAATACAATCAGTATACTCAGTACATGGGAACGGTGCCCATAACCCAGGAGCTCTGGAGGGCTCGGCCCTACCTGGAAGCAGTTCTTGAACGAAGTAGAGAGCCACGGGGTTGATGCAGGAGTTGAGGGAGGCCATGTTGATCCCAAAGTAATCCATCACCAGGAGGAAACTGAGGCACGAGGGGAGAGAAGAGGGTGGATGTGTTAGAAGCTCATGGAAAACTGAGAGAAGGTTTCCAAAATGCCCGGCCCAGGAACCTGCTCCCGTGCCCCATGCCGTGGAGGTGAGCACAGAGCAGCCCCTCCTGCTGTCAGGCAATCACACGATATTTTTCTTGCGTTTCTGAGGAAACCAAGAGCATGAGCTCCGCTTTCCCCTGGTGACCCTGATGTTCTCAAACTCAGGCAGACCTGAACTGGTTTTTTTTTGTGATGGGTAAAGAGAAGGGGGAAGACAGGCACCTGCCAAGCAGCAGAAAGCGTGTGCAGCCCCCTTCGTCCCGCAGGGACTGTCCTCTGCCCAGGACACCTCTTTAGGCCACAGTTTTAGAGACATATTGATCTTCTTATGGTCCCCCACACCCTTTCCCTGTGCCTCTCGGGAAAGCAATCCCATCCAGAAAGGAACTATTGAAATAAGGTGTTTGGAAGGCAACTCCACCAGCCTGCAACGAGCCCGGCAGAGCTTCTGCTGGTGCCCCACAGGGGATCCCACCAGGGTGTCCTCGTGCAGATGTCCTTACCTGAGCAGTTCACACCTGTTGGGGTCCGTCTGATCATAGATGGTCTTTTTGAGGATGCGGCTGAGGTGGAGCGGCAGCCAGCAGAGCGCAAAGATCACCACCAGGCAGAACACGGTCTTGGCCACCTCCCGGCGCTGCGAGGAGAAGGTGGGCAGGACAGGGATGGTCTGGGTGAACGTTGGAGAGCAGGTGGAGCAAAGCACCATCTCCCCGGACTGAGCAAGGGCCCTTCAAGTACTTTCTGTAACCTGGTGGTGGCTGGGTACCCCTTTTGGCTCTAAAGCATAACCCACAGATCTCAACCCCTGCGTGACAAGGAGGACGCCGAGATCCAGGCTGCAGGAAGGAGTATGGGCCAGACTTCTTCCCACCCCTTCCCGCCACTGCTTTCGGTGACATTACTTCCCCTGGGACATGGGCACCTCATCCGCCCACCCCTCACGCTGCAGCACTGAGACCACCCAGCTGGTCTGCCCCGAGGGATCGTCCTGCAAATGAATTCTGCAAAATCAAGGCGGTCCCCGGCTGTAATGCGAGTGGTTTGGGTTGTCCCTGAGCGTGGAGATCGTAGAGCTGCAGGGCCATCTCCCTGGTTTAATCCATGTGTCTGCATCAATGTGCTAACACCCGTGGATCACCCTGAGGTGACGTCAGCTCAGATGTGTCCTTCACAGGGACGGGTCTGTGCTTTCCTCTTAGACGGCACTTCCCCCTGTCTGGGAAATATTAGAGTTCCTGCCTTCCTGGTTTTCTTACCCGTTTCATGTGGTCGTTCAGAGCAATTCTCATGCCATTTCTCTTGCTCAGCATCTCGCATGACATGAGGGTGTAGAAGATGCCAGTGCATACCAAGGGGAGGCAGAAGTAGAAGCCGAAAAGCCACCAGTCCTTCACGTCACGGTAGAACTGCAGGCAAAAGAAAGAGCAGCTGGAAGCTGGGGAAGGAGGGGGCCAGCTGGGGCTGAGCTGAGCCCAGTGCTGGCTTATATCAGGGACTTGTGGTGTGTGAAAGCGTAAGAGCTCCTGTGCGACACACGAGTGGGACCGTCTTCCCCCACGGCTGGGGCACAACTTGCACTTGAAGTAGAGGCTGGTTTACACCAGGCTGCCAATCCAACCCAGCGCTCTTGTGCAAGAGCTGGTTGCAAAGATCTCACTTGTCAGACACTGTGGGGTGGGTTCTGGTGCTTTGTGAGGGCTTTCATTGCTTTCCTCACCCTCAGCTGACCCTGTGACAAAGGTTACCCTGCAGAGCGGTTGTGCAGATGCTCTTTGCCCTGCTGGGACAGCAGGTTCTGAAGCTTCCCGAGGTGTGTCGTGACCTTCTGATGTGGAAGGTGAAGACTCCACTCAGCCTAAGGACCAGCTGCCTGTTTTCTGGCCCCACATTCAAAGCAAGTCCACTACAGTGCCGGGTCGGATTTTCCCTCCCCGTGTTCACCCCGATGGCTAGAAGAATCCATCTGTGGAAGCATCTAATCCTCTAACGGAGGAGGAAGGATGCCCTGGGGGCCTGTGTTTCCCTTACCCTCACTTTTCAGCCGCGGTGGGATGGTACCTACCATCATGAAGCTGGATTTCTGTTCGGAGGCGAGCATGCACACCCACAGGTGCCGCTCCCAGTAGCTGAGCTCCACCACGTCGAAGGCTATAGCTTCGGGGATGGCGAGCACGATGGCCACCACCCAGATCAGCGCCACCTCCACTGCCTTCCACATGGGGATCCCTATCCCCTGGATCCGACTCCAGGACGCCACTGCTCGGTACCTGCAACAGGAGCAGGTTGGAGTGAGGAAAGCAACCGTCAGGCAGGGCTTGAGAAAGTGCAGATTAGAGTTATCCCCAAAGGGCATCTCCCTCACACCTTCCTCCTCCACCCCTGAACCCTCTCCCTTTGCTGGGATGGGCTCAAGGTGTGGATGTGATGGCACCCCTGGATCCGACTCCAGGATGCCACTGCTCGGTACCTGCAACAGGAGCAGGTTGGAGTGAGGAAAGCAACCGTCAGGCAGGGCTTGAGAAAGTGCAGATTAGAGTTATCCCCAAAGGGCATCTCCCTCACACCTTCCTCCTCCACCCCTGAACCCTCTCCCTTTGCTGGGATGGGCTCAAGGTGTGGATGTGATGGCAGCTCTCCTTGGGCAATGCCCACTTGCTGTTGGGGAGGTGCCACCCTTCCCCACCACCCCGGCAGTTGCTCCAGCACATCACAACCCACCCCTCCACCTTTTCCAGCAGGATTTAAACTCCATTGCCGTGGCCAGTTCCTGCTGGATTTCAACTCTAAGGGAGTTGTCCCCATCTCCAGATAAGGCCCTGGACCAAGCCACCCTGTGGTTTGCCTTTTGATTGCAGTGAATCGTAGAATCCTAGAATGGCCTAAGCTGGAAGGGACCTTAGAGATCATTTAATCCAGCCTCCCTGCCGCCAGGGACGCCACCTCTCGACTAGATCAGGCAACACGTGGGGACCGAACGGGAATCTAACACATGACCTTAGCGTTGTTAGCACCACGCTCAACTGACTGAGCGAACCAGCCCCCAATAGGCTGGTTAAGGTTGGAGGGGACCTTGAAGATGGTCTAGTTGCAACCCCCCTACTGTGGGCAGGGACACCTCTCTCCCACCAGCCCAGGTGGCTCAAAGCCCCGTCCAACCTGGCCTTGGACACTTCCAGGGATGGGGCATCCACAGCCTCCTTGGGCAACCGAGGGATGTGCTGAAGTCAAATACGGATCAGGCTGGGCGGCGCAGCTGTAAGAGCTGTTTCTTACCTGTCGATGCTGAGAGCGCAAAGGCTGAGGACCGTGATGCCCACGGAGGCTTTCTGGATGAAGGGCACCAGCTTGCACACCTGCACGCCGAAGGGCCAGTCCTTTGCCAAGAGCTGGGGGAGAACCGCAGCGTTAACGGGAAAGATCATCCGGCTTCCCGTCAGAGCAGGTGGTTACCCACAAGGTGTGAGAAGCCCATAAAGAGCAGCTGGAAGCCCTCTGAGGTTACCTCTGCCGGGATTACGCGGTGAGCGCTCTCCGGTATTTTCTGCTGCACTGGGAACCATTCAGTTTCCCCGAGGGCTCGTTGCGAGATGCGTTTGCATCCCACACAGGTGGGTCTGCCAGATATTTTGCTGTAGCCGTTACTCTGTTCTTGTTAAATGTACATCGCAACGACCCAAATCCTCTCCCTGGCCAGATGGTGCATCTCCCATCCAGCGTGGCAACGGCAGGGTTAAAATGGAAATCCTCCCTGCCCTGGGGACAAATTTTGGAGGGGCCTTGCTGCTCAAGTTTTTGAGGGGCTCAACTGCGACCTGCGCGTGGACCCTACCTTATAGACGTTGATGGGCAGAGCGATGAGGATGTAGAGCAGGTCTCCGAGCGCCAGGCTAGCGATGAGGACGTTTGGCCCGTTCCTCATGCACTTGTTCTTGTAAATGATCCTCAGGAGCGTGGAGTTCCCGATGATCCCCACTATGAAGATGGTGCAGGACACGATGGTGTTGATGTACTTGAAGATGTGCCTGATGTCTGCAGGCTTCACGCACACGGGCAGCAGCGGCGGGGCGTCCCGGGCAGACTCTCCGAGTGGTTCGACAGCTTGGCGTCCCGGAACAGGCTTGGCTGGACCAGACTGTAAGCCTGCTCCTGGCTGAGCACCTCAAAGGGGACGGTGCTCTCCTGGAAAGCCCTCGGGGTCTGGCTACGCGCCCCGGAGAAGAGGCAAGTCAGGAGAATGGCTATAGTGGTGAGAGCTGGGATTGTCGCCATCGAGGACCGGACGGCAAAGCTGGCTGGGGAGGTGCCTGTGGGGCGTGTGGCTGGATCTGCAGGTGGAGAAGGACAAGGAGGAGAAGTGGGTTAGCGGAGGGAGGAGGGACAAGAAGAGGCCAAATGAAAGGCACTGCTGTCATCGCAACGATCAGAAATAACGCCGGGTTAGATCCCGTCTGGTCAAAGCAGCTGATCCCTGTGGCTGGGGGGCTTTGCTGCTAAAATTAAATGTGCCTGGTCTGGTGAAGCAAACGCAAGGGAAAACAAACGATCTCCTCTGCCTCTCGCACAGCATTTCAGCAGATGAGGGCACCTGCCTTTTCTCAACGGGGCGCGCTGAGCCAGCTCTTGCACCTTCTGAACTCAGTCCTGCTGCTCACACAGCAAACCTGAAGCTGCTTTTGTGCCCACCCCATGCTTCCCGGGTAGCTCCTGACTGAAGCAGCAGTTTTAGGGCACCTGCCCCATCAGCGCCTGCACATCTGGGTGGTTCTGCTAACCCCACAGACCCAGCAGATCTTTTCTTACAGTCTGTGCCAAGGGAAAGTGGGAACCCACCCCTTGGCAAAGCCCGTGGGCTGCCACACGCCAGCGTTCAGCACAGAGTGGAAAGCCTCGGCACAGGCTTTGCCGGGAGCCCTGATGGGAAAACACTACAAGGGTTTTTCCAGAAACGCCGTATTGATACCTGACATCTTACTCCAATTTATGTGCGAGCAGCACAGCCCCTCCTTCCCCATCCTTATCGTCACTAATGGAACCGCTTCCCTTCCACATCCACTGTGCCCACTCAGCTTGGTGCCCAGGGGTGTAAATCTCGCCGTGCTGTTTCCATTGTGACTGCTGAGCACAGCAAAAGGTCTCTCGAGCTCACCGAGGCTGGAGCGCTACTAATAAATATCACCGGGGTGAGCTCTGCTTTGCCAGTCTCAGACAACGCTTTCAGGCAGGACCTGGCAAGCTGCTGCACCGGGAGGAAGGTGAGGATGGTCGCAGCGCTGTCCTGGCACGATGTGAATTTCTGGAAGAGGCTTCTGGATAATCCAGATGCGGCCACTGGTGGGGAATGAGCCCCAAGAGGGAGGGGAAGATGTCAGCACCCTGCCAGTCTGTGCCCCAGCTCCGCCTGGGTCAGATCTTGGGTCTCCTGGTTAGGGTCTGTGCAGAACACGTTTCTCCAGCTGTGAAACTTTACAGCTTTGAAAGGAGGAAGGATCGCTGTGCCTGGGCTGGAAACGGGAGCCCTTTGGGGCTCTGCTCCAGAGGAGCTGGGTAGGTGGGGACAGGGAATCCTGCCTGAGATCAAAGATGGGACTTCAGTCTCCGCTCTGACTCCACCAGACCGAGCCAGGATCTGAGCCCAAACCGGTGATTGGCTCCCCAGGACCACTCAGCCACAGCACACCTGGGCTGTGGCACGGTTCCCCTTGCCCAGGACCAGGGGGACCCCGGGATCAGCAAGGCATGAGTGATGGGGGCACACTGCTCCCCATCCATGGGGCACAGCCAAGCCAAGCAGGAGCCCTGCCGGGAGCGACTGCGGCTTCCCTGGCGACAGCTGTGTGTCATGGGCTCGGGCCAGGCTTTGCAGAAACGCCTCTGCCTGTCTGCTTGTTCGGAAGACTCCAGGAACAATCAATCTTTCCCAACAAACCAGCCTAGCCAGACCTAGGCTTTTCTCAATTCTGACCCACTGGTCTTGCCAGAAATTCTGAACCAGGCTCAGTCCTTCCTGACCCTCCTGTGTCCTTCGGTCAGATCCTGGGTACTCAGAACTACAAACAAGCCTAAAACTTATTCCCGGTTATGTGTCGAACATTAGGCAATAACAGAACTAAATCCCTTCAGTCACAGCTTAGACTTCATGAACAGGAGAGTTAAGTATTCGATTCTGTTAACCACATTTTCAAGATGTTACTTTTCTGGTTTGAATCCTTATGACAGCACCTCATGTGTACAGTTTCACCACAGAAAGGTTGAAGATCCCCTCACTTTTCAGCTCACTATAAGCCCAATTCCATCTGCTAAAATATTGATGCCCGGTGAAATCCCGGGTGTTCTCTGTGCAGACTCGAGCATCTTTGCAAACTTATCTTGCAGATAAACCTTGTCACTGTGAGCCAGAACAGGCACTGTGAGCTTACCTGCCTGCCTCTACCTGGAGAAAAAAGAGCAATTTTTAACGACTTGAAGAGCATTTAGAGAAGAGTGTCCTTACGATGATTGGAAAACAGCCCGTATCTGGCCTGTGGACACCCTGCTCTCACAGGTAAGTAGTTATATCCCGTCACTGAGGGGTGCCTGCAGGTGTACGTGATCTGAAAACTGGGGAAACCTTCAGCCCAGACTGTGCCTCCTGTAAGGGCAGAGCTAGTTTCCTAAGGAGGGGACGGTGGGATGCCAGCTCGTCCCCGTGGATAACCAGTTGCCTAGAAAGGGACGAAGCTGTGCGCCAGGATAGCTGGTTATCAAGGAGCCCAAAGGAGGAGCCTCTGTCCCTCCGGAGACGCGCAGGTCGAAGCTGAGGACTCCCAAAGTTGTCACCGGTCAGAGAGGAGCCTGGACAGAGCCCGGCAGCCCCCGGCGGTTTGGCAGAGGAGCTCATGTGCGTGAGACTCACAGGACACGGCTCGCTGGGTCCTGCCTGTCCCCTCCACAGCGCGGCTGCAAAACACCCAGTAAGGAACCAAAACACATCTGCCCTGTCTTGCCTTAAAATCCAGCGCTTGACTATAAGAGAAGCTTTTTTTTTTCTCCTGTTCAACAGCCCATTTCTTTCTGGCCCTCCATGCTGCCTCTCGCATCTCAGAGTGCTTGAAAGCGTAAGCCTTCGCAGCTGTAGGGGAAACTGAGGCACGAGAAACTCATTCTGCATGCAGCAGATGCAAAGTCAGAACCAGCATCGCTTGACCCAAAACCCTCTGAGCTTTGCTTGTGTTGCTGATCATCTGGGGAAGTGACTCGGTGCCCGAAGGGGCCAGCCCCGCTCCACGCTCCCCAGCCAGACCAACCTCACCAAACAGACTTTTTTTTTTTATTATTTTGCTGATAAATGTCTCTTGCAGCAAAAATCCACGAGTGAGGGAAAAGAGGGAGAAAGGCAAGGTAACACCACAACACCAGCAGCTTCCCTGGCTGGAACTCAGCCTGGTCCGTAAGCAGGAGGACCTTTTCCCCGGAGATAAATCGGATTTCTTCTCATGCGCCCTCTCCCTGCCCATCTCGCTCAGAGATCACACTCCCGGGGGGGGTCCCAACGCAAGGGGGATCTGAGAAAACATGCAAAAACTCACCCTGAAGCAAGAAACCCGTTTGTTGGCCTTGAACAGCAAGAGTTTTCTGCTGGAGTTAAGTTGCCTTCCTCGCCACCACGAACTTCGGGTGCTCCTGGGATCAGCCGCTTTCCCGTCAGGCGGTTCCTGCAGGTCCTGGGGGAGCAGCAGCCTTGTAGGTCCTGGGGTTTGCTTTTGAGCGTGGGCTCGTGCTTTGGGGGGGACGCTTCTTCCCTCTCGTGACTCGCCGAGGTCTCTCTGCCCGGTTGGTTTTATAGAAAACCGCAGCCCCCGTGACCAATGGGCGACGTGCGGGACGAGGCGGGCGGGAGGAGGGCGAAGCAGGAGAGACGCGGGGCAGCTCTGCGAGGGGATGAAAATAATAAACAAATAAAGCTCCAGGGGAGGGAGGGAGTCGGGGGAAGGCTGCTGACCGCCTGTCGC